CCGGTGGCACAAAATTTTTAAAGCAAAATATAATTTACGGTTAGTTTCGATGCCATATTTGATTGAATTTTTTAAAAGGCCTTACAGCTTTTTCCCAAAAAGCCTCAATAACTTTAAAAGATAGGGAGGCTTAAAAATACTGTAGCTATTTTTGACACCGGGGGACAAAACTCTATCAAGTGCCATTGAAATATACAGTCAAACTTCCATTACTCGAGCTTCTATAACTCGAATTTTGTATAACTCAAGTTAAATCAAGTGGTAATAGCTTTTAGAGAGCTATATACACTAATTTTTAGTTCCATAGCTCGAACTTCTCTAACTCGAATTTCTCCGTAACTCGAATAAAAAATTTTCCAAATGTAAGTCGAACCATTTAGAGGAAATCCAAAATTATGCACTTGGTTTTCTTGCTTTGGTTTTTTTTTCAGAGAACCTCTTAAGGGCCATTCACATAAGACTTTCCTCGCTTTGCTTGACAGTTCAAACTTTGACAACAAAGCGTGAAACGCAGAAGGTATGCTACAATAAACGCTTTGACAGCTTTTGCGTTCTCCTTTTCCTCCATATTTTTTATCTGTAAAATAGATAACATTATAATAATATGCATTAATAATAGCAATAATAATTCCGATTTACCCAATTTTTGTCATTAAATGCAAATGCAAGCGCACGAGAAAAGATACATGTAGACAGCTGATTGCCAAAGCGGGCAAAAGTTGAGAGTTGCCCAAGATTTTGCTTCGTTTTGCTGTGCTTTGCTTCAAACGTTTTTTATGTGAGCATACTCATGCATATGCCTACATCGATCTTATATGTCAAAGCAAAGAACTATCAAGAAAAGCGAAGAAAGTTGTATGTGAATTCGGCGAATTCAGCGTACATGCATAATTGGTTAGGTATGTATGCATATGTATGTATGCAGATATTTAAATGTCGGTTTGCTATTCGCGCGACAAACTTTTTTAAAAACGAAGTAAATTAGTACAAATTGTTAGTAATTTTCATTAGAGTTTGAATAACTCCTTTCACTAAATGGCTTTTAGTAACTTTAACGAGACCTTAACTTATTTTATTTTATTCATTTTAGTGCAGTTTTGACAAAATTTTCTTGCTAAAAAATCTTTTGTTACACTACTTTATTTTATTCCTTTGATTGTACATGTTAAATAAAAGCTTGTTTTTAAAACATATTTTTTTTTTTACATTATTTTATTTTATAATTTTTAGTCCATTTATAAAAGCGTTGTATATTAAAAAGTGTTATTTCATTTTATGTACAAAATTTTGCAATAGATATCAAAATAATTCAACTTGCAATGAAAGAGAACAGAAGACTTGGCAAGCAAAATGTTGGTTGCTTATGGTTTGTATAAACATACATATGTACATATAGCAGCAGTTAATTTTATTTAAAGAAATGGCGTGTCGTCCGTTTCCGTTGTAGCCTGGCATATATTTAGGCTCAATATTTAACTTCTTCTGTCGGGGCGACATCTGGAGTCTTCTAATTCTTACAACGAGGTTCATATCTAGACTAGGTTGATATCAGAATTTGCCACAAGTAGCTTTGCTACACTATCGCCGACAGCTTTAACAATTTTATAGTGGTTTTACGTTCTTTGGCAAATTACGATCTGTTAGCCATAAATCTTACTATTTTTTGACCGCCTTTGAAGCAAGACCCCTGGACCATATGGGGAATTCATTTATATTTTAAATTGCATTGTCATCGTGATTGGAACTATGCTGAAAATTTCAAGTCTCTAACTTGTCGGGAAGTCAGTTTAAAATCGATTGGAAATTTCCGCGATTTGCGCGGGATGACCAAGTTAAATAAAAGCTTATAAAAATAAGGAGTCAATAAAAACTTCGTTCGAAACTGGTGCCACTTCTGGACGCAACAAAAGAATGAAAAAACCAACGTATAAAAGTGTGGACAAAGCTGTGTTCGAATGGTTTACAGCAGCTAAAAGTCAAAACATGCCAATATCCGGGGCATTTTTAAAGGACAAAGCAATGGAGTTTGCAAAGCGATTTGGCGATGAAAATTTCAAGGCAAGCACAAGTTGGTTGACAAATGGAAGCAGAAGTAACAAACAAGAAGTGTAATTGATAAATTGTTCATTCATAGTGGATACTTTGTTTTATTTTAGGCATGCCGTGAGCCATAAAAAGGTGTATTGTTGGAGTAATGACGCTAGTGACGAAAACTGCAAGAAATTGAAAACTACAACTCTGCCAATTTTACTAGAAAAGTACAATGAATGCGATATTTTAACGCAGATGAAACGGATTTCGAATTTCCGCGCCACGGAAAGGGATGATGAGACCTCAGTGGATGAAATTATTCACCAGCATTCAAATTATGATGTTAGAGTTTGTTTCAGATGTTTTAATTTATATTTGTAAACGAATGACACTAGCACTGACGATCACTATATGGCTTTGAATGATTTATAATCTCTTTTTACTGAAAACCCCAAAAGGAAAATAGGGTTTCAATCACTCATTTCTGATTATTTTAATACATTTCCACTTTTGCATGTGAACTTGATTTCGAACTAATAAATGTGTTCATTATTTAAGATTTATCTTACATAATTGTGGTTTCTTAAAAAAAAAAATTATATTCTATAACTCGAAGTCTCCATAAGTCGAACATTTTGATTGGATAATCGTGATTCGAGTTATAGAAGTTCGACTGTATTAAATTTCCAGACTCATGGCAAAATATTGACCACTTTGTGACAAATTCCAAGAATTTACTGAGGAATTTGAACCTTTGAATTTCATCATCTTTCGGTTGTCCGATTTTAATTTTTTTTTTTTTGCAGGGCACGTTTTTAAGTATTTATTACCAAATGAACATTTCTGGGGGTAGTTTTGCTTTGTAAGACAAAGTTGCAAAATAAGGCGCAGTCTACTGCACATGCATGATGATATTCATAGAATTATTTTGCAAAACTATAACTAAATAGGGGAGCTAATGGTGTTATAGACCACATAAGGAAAAATTTCTGTAGAAAAAACGGAAATCTCAATTTTGCTCATTTGTTTATGAATAACACAGCCCAAAAAAATACAAAAAAAAATTGGTACGGCAAATGTTAAAGCTGTTTTTGATGATTTTTTTTTGTGCTGATTACGAATCCGTAAGCATAAGGTTTCCATCAGCTTCAGATTTTGGAAAAAAAATTACGGTGGGACCTGGTACGCGGTAATTAGCGAAACCGAGGTCGCATAGAACATTTGTACACGGTGTATCGTAGGGTGAAGCTAACTAGATATTTAGAAACCTCCAAAATAGTTATTTGGTATTTACTACAACCTGAACACCTAAATACTTTTGTTGTTAGTATTGAGCAAATAAATCACTGACATAAAGGTAAGGTTTATAATACGAATCAACTTCTACAAACATATAAAAGCAAACATACACTCAATAAAAATGCTAAATATGTGTATTTAAATAGATAAGTATTTATAAAGAACAATAAATTCAAAAGGGTCACATCTCAGAATTTTCCATGATCAACTTTTTACCTTAGATGCATCAGCGTAGCCAGAATGAAATTTAGGGGGGAGCTCGACCCTATTAAGCTGGCATTTCAGGGTACTATTTTATATATATATATAAGGAAAATTTGAAAATTAGGGCTGACTACGCCCATGCTTAGATGTATGAGTTTAGAATACACCCCTCTAACTACTGCAAAAATATCTTTATTTGCAAAAGATAAGGAGTATTATTTTGAATAGTTAAACAGTGAAAGGTCCCATAAGCGGACCCCGAGGTCACCTACTTTTTGTCAAATTTAAAAAATTTAAATATCGGTCTTCTAAAATTAAAATGATATTTATTCTTCAATAGACAGAAACAGAATGATTTAAAAATAAATTCAAATTTATGGCGTTTTCTTTCCTATGAACAAATCTCATTGCCCGCTTCGCTGAAGCAGCAAGAAAAGGGCAACGAAAAGGCAAAACTTTGTATATATATAAGAAAAAAATCTTTGAATATGTGTCCATATTGTCCCTATGTTCTTGTGTTTATATACATATATACATATGTATGTACAACTCAACATCTGACTAGAAAAAAAAACAAAATTCACGTTCGCTTATGGGAGATCTTTTTTCATAACTAGTCATGTTTGAGAGTCCGCGTTCATTTATCGGAAAGTCCGTGTATGGGAGAGCATTTTGTATGGAAAAAAACCAAAAAATGTTCGTTCCCAAGAATGTGTCCGCTTATAGGAGATGTCCGCTTATAAGAGCGTCCGCCTATGAGATGTTATTTTAAATTGAGCTCCTTAATTGAAAAGGATGAGGTCAGTCGATTGAATTTTGCCAGAAATTTAACTTGGGAAATAATAAGTAAATTATGAATTATTTTTAAATTCACGCTTTTAAAATATTGCGCGTTTAATAATGTACAGGATTGTTTCAAAATTTCAATTTTGTGCGAAAACGCAATCAAAGTTTGATCAATTCATACAGTTGGTATACATACATATCTTCGCCATTTTTGGGAACTTTTGTCATCTGTTAGGTTGAACATATTCTCTTTATCAAGTTTATTAATTGTATGATGAAATCTCCAAAAACAAATATATAAAAAAAAATTAATAATCTTTGAAGTTAAAATAAAGTTGCGTGTACTATTATACGTAATCGTTTCTGATTTTTTTTTAGTTGTTTGAAGTTAAAATAAAGTTGCGTGTACTATTGTAGCTAATCGTTTCTGATTTTTTTTAGTTGTGACGCTTTTGCATTTCCTTGTCAACATAATAAACGCAACTTAAATTGGAATATATTTAATTAAAAACAAACTAGAAAAAAGTATATACATAAAGTATATACATACGTACGTAAGTCAGATATGAAAAGCAACCGTTTTATTAAGCAGCAATTTTTTGCGGTTCAAGAAGGCGTGACCAAGTAAAATTAGGGTAAGAAACAGCATTCACAAACAAAAATATTAGAAAAATCCTTACCCAATTGCAAATTGTTGCTTTTGTTTGGCAGCAAGGATTTACGCTCATTGGTACCCATTGAACCAAGACTTGTACAGTCTGTCGAATCGATGGTGGAACTACTGGCACCAATTGTCGCCGAATGATGCTGGTGATGATTGAGTAGCGCCTCGTTTACCTGTGGATCTGCCTCATGCTCTTGTGATGTGCTGCGTGAGCCACCCATTCGGAATTTCAGTTTAAATGGGGCCATAGCGCAAATTTTCTATTTGACATAGATTTAAAACACAATGTTGCTCTAAAAATCCGATTAAAGCGTTTTTTCCTCTGTAAACCAGCATTACCTCTTATCCTTATACCATATGCTTATGCATCTGTACGTTTTGGGAATTATGGTATTTTCAAATTAAGAAATGAAAAATTGATCAAAAAATTAAAAAGGAAAAACATAAATACATTAGTGAAGGAATAGGAAGGACTATAAAAATATACATGTACATAACTATGTATGCAATTGTGACTGTGTAGTGGGCGGCAATCCGAATTTTGAGTGAATCACAAGTAAAGTTACAATTATTTAGGAACCTTCTAAGGGATTATGCAAACTTTGCTTAGATCACATCGACACAAAGAATTAAAGGACGTCGTAAGAATCACGAGATAATAAATATTTAATGCACTTGTGATTAATCTACAAGCATGCAAATGTTGCGTGGTCTCATTTAAATATGACATGTATGTTGAATATATTTTCTGCATAAAATCCAACTTACCTTAGGTTGGACTCTTATTGGCAATGTGTATGTATCTATAAGCGTTACCTGGAACGGAAGACGAGATATTGTAGCACATGGATGATAATGAACGAATTAATACAACTTTAATTTTACGACACACATATTTACTATTACTATCTGTCTTTCTATCACAGTAATTACTTGCTTTTGTTCGAGGAGAAAAATATAACTATGCACAGTGTTGTATAAAATAATGGCTATTTAAGAAAAAATGTTCTTCTACTAATTAACAAAACCATTAACCAAACCGATATTTTCTACAAATATTCGATCCACACGAACCACTTTTTGGTTTCGACCCATGATTCTATAATTCTGTGGTCACAATCAATAACCGCCTAAGTCGACTTAAGAAAAAATGGAGTTATGTTTGCTGTTGTATTCTTCAACCACTAGTCCATGGGTATGTGAAATCCGCATCTTGCTAGCTAGGATACTTAAAATGTTATAGGCGAAAATATTTTGGTTTACCCATAAGGCTAACATTACAATACAAATGTTTAAAAGGTTTTTCTCGAATTCAGGTTTTTCGACTTTGGCGGTTATTGCTTATGACCACAGAATTAAAAGTTTGCTCAATAGTGACATTAGAGTTTTGACACTCCCTTAACTCCCTTACAAAAGCTTTGCACACACACATGAACCCACACACAGTGCCTGCTAAGGGAGCCGATTTTGTCAAGAGGGAGCGAGAAAATTGTTTTCAAAGCAAACGTTTTATTATTGAGGCATGGTTTCGACCTATTTCTGATACACAAATCTATATATATAAAAATGGTGTGAAAAATGTATAGTAATTCATCAATTCAGAACGGGTGGACCGATTTGACTTAAATCGTTTTTTAGTTGTTCGTAATTGCCAGGAGAAGGTTTTTACGAAAGAAGATTTTGGGAAACCCCTCCGGGAAAGTCGGAAAATTGGAGACATCGAAAGTTGTTTTTTTTTTTTTTGTATGGAATTTTGTGTGCAATTCCTTCGGAATGGCATTCGAATGGAAAAATAGATAATTGTAAGTGTAAAACTCGGAAAAATCCGGAAGAACGCAAAAAATTGAATTTTTTTCGACGACAGCTTGGAAAATTTCGGATAATTGTGAAATTCATTGAGAGCTTGAATCAATTGGGAACAATTTTCTCCTATGTTTCATAACTGATTCGAATGGGTGCTGCTTTTTTGGAAACGTGTTTAGAAGAAGGAGTGCACAAAGTTTTAGTTTTTCCGATAGTTGGCGCAGGGGTCGAGCTATGCTTAAAAAAATGCAGTTGGTTCGTTGGTAGCCTTTTGCCTAGATTAGCATATGGGATTAATTTTTTCCGTTAAGTGGGCCAGAGACCGAACTATTCGAAACAGTCTTATTAATGGTCCGATTTGCTTGCAATTTAGCACGTAGGTAGCTTATTGGCTGGGTAAACATATATAATATTTTTTCTGATAGGTGGACCAGAACCGATCAATTCCAAAAAATCTTCAATCGAATCGAGTCATTGTTTTACAGTTCGAAAGGTGTTTGAAGGCGCCGCAAACATGTGGGTACTGTCTATTTAACAATACTTATTACACAGGCTAACAAAAATGGAAAAAAATTTGATGCAGCAAATGTTAACGCTATTTTTGACGGATTATTTTTTCCGGAAGCAAAAAGTTACCATCAGCTTCAGATTTTAAGAAAAAATGAGGTCAAATTGTCAAAAAATCGAGTTTTTTGCAATATTTGAGAAGCTCTAGCAAAGAAACAAAGGGTGGTAGAACCTTCCACTTAGGCTTTGATTAAAGGAAGTTCCCGCACCTTTGCTTGATGGTCACTTAGGGCTGGTTTCTCCAACTCAACTTAACTTAGTTTAGCCACTTTTGGACTTAAGTCAAAAGTTAGCCTACGTTTTACACAGCTTATTCTTGACTGAGTCGAGAAAATTGGCTTAACTAAGTTGAGTTGGAGAAACCAGCCCTTATAGTCATTTGTTGAATAGGAATAACTGATTTCGGGAAGTTTGAGTTCTACCGCAATTAAGCAAAAGGTGATAGAACCTTCCTTAAATTAAAGCTAGAACTACAGACTACCATCCCTGAAAGTACTATTCGTGCACTTTGACCTAATGGTCAGCTATACTCATTTACTTTTTATCGTCAAAAATGGTGCAAAAATCAGTGTTAGCTGTTAAATAAATGACTATAGGTAACCATAGGGTCAAGGAGCAGGAATTGAAGTCAGAAGTCCAAGCCTTAATTTAAGCCTAAGTGGTTTGTTTCATTGCTAGAGCTTCTCAAATATTGCAAAAGACGCGATTTTTTACACTTTCACCGCATTTTTCTCAAAATCTGGAACTGATGGAAAAATTATGCTTACGTATTCTTAATCAGCAAAAAAAAAACTGTTTAAACCAGAGTCAACATTTGCCGCATCAAAATCGGTGTTGCCCTGTGTTACCAACACTAATTATATAAAGAGAAGCTCCTTCTTTTTATAAGAGGTGATCTCGCGAACGGCTGTACTGATTTTGTGAAATTTTGGACACCTACTGCAGACTTTGGATATATTAAGGGAGCGTGGCATCACCCATGCATATCGAATTTTCCTAAACGACCGAAACGATTTTAATGATCATATTTAGTGGCGCTGGAACCGAGTTATTGCTAAAAATCGTCGATTCGGAGGCACCAGACTATACTATACAGATTCATGGACGATTCACGCTTTCGTCAGGTTATTTAAGACGGCAATAGGAATATGCCTTCTGTCGACCACAAAACCAAACATGAACTTAAGTTGCTGGCGAAAACGTTGGACCAAATATTTCAATAAAAAAATTATTTTTGGGCGGGACGAAGTTCGCCGGGTCTGCTAGTTTTCCATAGTTTTTATTATTGTTTTTGTTAAATATATCAATACCATACTAGTTTTCCATCTGACTAGAACGTCCTTAAATTATGGAGGGAACACTTTTCCACCCTATTGAATGGTAGCAACCAGGGTTGCCGTTTTGGGCTTTTCCCACCAAAATTGGTAGGTTGTTTTCTCGTTGGAAGGATGGTAGGATGCTTAAAATTTTAGTCGGTTTCTTTGCTCTTAAAACAGGAAACATCTCTAATAGTTGCAACAATGACAAGGATGTTAAAATATTCAAAACATTCATAATAAATGTACGTGTTTACAGAAAATTAAATTTTCATCATATACGAAAATTAAGAAAAAACAACTTATTTTTATTCCAGTAAATCGGAAAATCTCAAAGTAATCGCAACTCGAGGAAATTAATGGCAAACCCGCAGCGCGCAGATATTGCCCCAAGCCCGGAGGCTCTTAGACCCGAACATTTGTCAAGCCTAACTGTGAGGTTTTTTTCCCCTTACTTATGTATATATATGTACGTCATAAAATATGTATGCAAATGGGTGATGTATAAAAAATCTACGACGCAGTTTTCTGCTACGATGTTTCACGTCTTTTACTCCGAAGGCTTTATTAAAACTATAAACTATCCGAAATTGTTGCCATTTTTTTCGATTTTTCGGATTGTAATCGAAATTTTGAGGGTGTAGAAGTCAAACGGACTTCAGATTCTCAAAATTCATGAATTAAATGGATAAATTGGAAATATTTATTGAAAAACTATTAAAATCAGTAGGCATTGGAATTCTACTGCGAATATCTTCTAAATGGTTAGAGTAATCAATTAACCACATGAGACTTTTTTGTAGAGCGTTCAATTTTCTATAGAAATAGTTGAAACTCATTTGACAACAATTTTTTTTTAGTAAGTTACAAAATTCAAAACAAAAAGTTATTTTCCTTAAAATAATTTAATCTTTGACCTTGAATATCTTTTAAATGGTTAGATTAATGAAAAGAGTATATGAGACCATTTTTGTATAGCGTTCAATTTCCTATAAACATTGACGATGCAACTGGTTTAACGATCTAAGATAAGATATGACCATTTTTATATGAGACCAAATTTAGAATGGAAAACTATGATGAGCATAATCTTTCCGTTAATATTAAGAGCTCAGATTTGGTAAGTACTTTCTAGAAGTACCTAGGAACTAGTTTTCGTGTGTCGAATCCAAAAAAAATACTTAATTTTTTTTTACCTACCCTAATATACATACATAAAAGGTATCATTCTGATCTTTTTTCCTTGGAAATCTTATTTTAAATATAAAAACCAGCAAAAATAAATGTATTTAGCGCCGTCAAACGCCATTTTCTTGATTAAAAGAAATGGTAGGAAAGAAGCCATTTTGTTAGGTTTTAGAACCAGTTCTTGGTAGGAAGGTAACCCTGGTAGCAACAGTGAAAGTAGTTGAGAAACCGAACCCGAGCGCCCAGTCGATGAGCCGCAGAACTGAAGCGCAAGGCACAATTTTTTACAAGAGCGCACAATTGCTGGCGCACACAGTATATACCAGGAGTGGGCAAGGCCGAGGCTGAAAAGAGCCACATGTAAATTCTAAATGCTAAAAGGAGCCACAAGAAAAACAAAAATAAACAAAAAATTTTTTTTTAAATAAAATTATTACTAGATATGGAAAACATTAACTTTATTATTATTGTAATGTACGTAAGATAGATATTAAA